CCACAATCCCCTTCCAGTCCTCATTCCGCCGCTCAACCGCCTCCTCCGCAGGAGCAAGATGCGCCCCGACAAACGTGACCGCCACCGTCTCGCCCCCGGCATCCGAATCCAACCACCCCAGCCTCGCCCCAACAGCCCCCTTATTCCCCATCTGCTGCAGCCCAAGCCCGACCCGCGCCGTCCGCACCGACCCAATCCGCCCCGCGACATCCGACCGCGCAAACACCATCAGCCCGGTCATCCCCACATGCTCCTCCACCACATTGACATACTGCGCATCCTCCCAGCGACTGGCCGCCGCGCGGTCGACAACCTGTCGGAACGCGGTCAAGTACGGGGTCAGGTAGGAGCCGCCGAGGAAGGCGTACGCGATCGGGGCGAGTTCCTGGAGACTGAGGGCGATGAGATGGGGTGCGGAGGGGACGGTGTGGGGGAGGGCGTGGAAGAAGTGCGCGGCGAAGAGGTCGACGTCGATGGGGTTGCGGGCGCAATTGTAGGTGAGGACGTAGAGGGTGAGGTTGTCCATTGCCGCCTAGAATTTGTGTTGCATATCGTGTATAAATGGAGTATGTGGGCGGGAGTCTATGAGTGACTGCGTTGTATGGAGTAAACAGGTGCAAACGTGTTGTGGTTGAGCTTGCTGGCAGTGACGTCGTTGAGCCGGTCTAGCGGTGTCTGTGTCCACGTGGTTCTTGGTTCTTGTCCATGGTTGACTGAGACTGGAATTTTCGGCAACACGTCTCCATATAGTAAGGAGTAGATACATTTGGCTCAGGCAAAGAAAGACATGAGGAAGTAAAAAGATGCTGGGAAACAAAAAAGAATGCATCATCCGTGAATCGAACACGGGCCTCGTCGATGGCAACGACGAATTCTACCACTAGACCAATGATGCTACCTACATTATAGCACAGCTTAATCAGTTTTATAGACCAGTTTTCTTGATGCCGACTATTCGAAGAACATGCGTGATGCTCACAATGATATACCATGAAAATATATTATTCTATCTATGTCTGAATTAATCCTATGAATCGAGATCACTAACGCTTAATCCGACAATATAAACGCTATCTAATGCAGCGAATTACAACGAAAACAACCCAGTTCTCCGCTTGCCAGATGGATAAACAACCAACGCCGCAATAAACAGCCCGACAGTAATGCCGATCGCGGTCTGGATCATACCATAACCCAGACTGGTCAAGGAGGACCCCGACGAACCACCCGACGTATCGGCCGTTCCACTCCGCACCGCATCCGAGTACTCGATCGCCGACAGAATCGAGCCGGACGAGGCCAGACCCGAGGGCACCATGGTGAAGATACCGGGGATGGTCGAGCTCACCGCGTTGCCGTGCCAGAGCCGGCTGTACAGATTCGCCAGCAAGCCGATGGTGAACGCGCCGACGGTATTGGCGACCTGCGACGAGGAGCCGAGCTTCTGGGTGCTGAAATAGTTGGTCACGTACCCGGCCGTCCCGATCAGGACCATCATGGGGATCTGCCGGAACTTGGCCTGGTTGATCAGCCCGGCGATGACGCAGTACGCGGCGACGAAGGGGAAATGCGACGCGTAGGGGCTGCCCCAGACGCTCTGCCGGGCGCAGGTGGTGTCGCGGGTTGCGTTCGAGTCGATAGCGCCGTAGATGGTCGTGCCGACGGTCACGCCGTAACCGAGGAACAGCGAGTAGAGGATGGTGTACACGAGACGGATCGAGCCGGCGATCATCTGATGCGACTGGAGCTCCAGGCTGCTCGTCAGAACGGAGAAACCGGGCAGGATGAGGGCGATGGAGGACTCGGTGATGGAGGCGTAGCAGAAGATCGGGTCCGAGGTGCCGGGGTACCGGATGCTGCCAAAGGCGCGGGCCAGGAAGGAAACCAGGATGGCCGCCGTGACCTCGAAGACGTTCGAGTACAGGGCGGAAAGCGGAGCGAGAACCAGCTGCATGAACCCGACGCAGCAGCCCAGCACAAAGATGATGGGCATGTCGATCGGGCGCGCAGAGAAGCCAAACGGGCCGACGGCGGCCGAGCCCACGCCGTAGAGCAGGATCACCAGCCAGCGCGGATACCGCGGCTTGCGGTCCATGATCTCCGTCAGCTCGCCGATGGCCGTCTGCATGTCCGTCATGTCGTGCGTCACCCGCTTGTAACACCCGTGAACCTCTTCCAACCGGCCCAAGTCCAACCCCTGCGGCACACGCACCAGCTTGACCTCGGCGGTGCGAGTGTACGGATCGTCAAAGGACATGATCATGCAGCCAGGGAGGTACATGAACTGCGCCTCGATGTCCAGCACGCGAGCCGTCATCTGCATGTACTCTTCCAGTCGGTGGGTGGGGGCACCATATCGCATGAACGCACGGCACAGTTGCATAATGTAGCGTTGACGGACGATGATATCCGCGATATGATACCGCAGCTTCACCTCGTCGTCGTTCCTCTTCTTTTTCTTCTTGTTGCCCTTGCTGCCGTTTTTGAATTCCGGCGGCGGTACGTTAGCATTGGTCCAGGCCGACGCGGAGCCGATCCGGCCCATATTCATCGACGCATGGATCAACGAGGCGGTCGAGCTGTTTCTGGACTTCTTGTACCATGCTTGCGGTTTCGGTCGGGCAGGCGGAGGACTCGAGGCGGAATGGGGCACGCCTGGCGTGGGAGTCACCGTGCCTGACAGTGTAGGCGTGGATTCGCGGTCGGACTCGGGGGCGGAATACATGCTGTTGGTGCGCGAATGCTCCATCTGGCTCGCCTGGAGCCGGAGCAGAGCCGACAGCACGCCTCCTCCCAGTAGTGGCGCGGGCGTATTGCCATTGGCCTCGACGTCGGCCGGGGCCCGATCAGCCAGCGTCGTGGCATCCGATTCGGGAAACGAGCTCTCCTTTTCGTTCGACTCCGCGTACGGTTTGCGATGGCGCATCTCTGCCAGACCAAAGCCCTGCATCAGCTCCTGAGCTTCCGCATCCACCGCCATCTGGAGCTTGGTGTGGTCGGAGAGTCCCGAATCCTTGTTGTTTCTGAAGATGGCCGCCAACTTTTCGTCGTCCCTGGAGCCCAGCTCTTCCATCGGGACCAACGAGGAGCCCAGTCCGTTCGCATCCTGTCCCTCAGGCCGGCCCAGCCTGTCTGCGAGCCGGCCGGTTTTCTCTCTGACCGATCGACTAGCCTGCAGCCATCGATCTCGACTGAAGACGGACGACGATGTGGTGGACCGAACATCCTGATGTGGATCGTCGCGATGACTCTCATGACCATGGCTTTCTTGGTTGGACGCCTTGCGATGCGCTTCAAGGACGGGGGTCTCGGGTTGCTCCTCCAACGGCGATAGGTTTCCTGGTAGATCAGTAGGTGCACCTCCCGACTGACCGGTGTCAGTTCCATCACGAGGTGTTTCTGCACTCATTTTGACCGGGGAGAAGCGACAAGGTAAAGGTCTGGCGGGGAATCAAGCACGACAGGTCACTAGATGCCTGATAATTCGAGCCGGGGCATCTTCAGAGATCTCAGAGTATGGAGAAGCGGGGTAGTCATCAAGACATGGAGTAAATAAAGGAGGACATAGGAGGCTCTCTCCTTTCTCCTCTCCTTTTTTGTCTTCCAGTAGCAAGTGGGACTGAAAAGGAGGCCATAACGATGGAATGGATTTATTTAGGAGAACTGGACAAAACGACCGGTTGATGGTTATTCTTAGTGTGTATTAGTGTGTATTCTCTACCCTACACTTTACCACGAATGGACCGGTAAATTTGCGTGGCCTGTGGGGCTGGACCACGCCTCTTTCCTGTCATAATTTCAACGGCCCAGGTCTCGGCAATTCTTCGAGGGAAGAAAGTCATATAGGAGAATGATAGAAAGAGCATGCTATGCTATGTACTTGATAGATCTCATGCCTGCCAATCAGTCCAGTAAGGTAGAATCTGATCGATCCCTTGCAGAATGGCGAAGCTTGGTGACGCCTCCCACGGGTGGCTTACAGGCTGGTGTGATGTATCATATATCAAGTATCAAGCAGAGAAAGTCTAGATCTAGACCCCTTGTACGAGTACCTTACTACCTTATCTGAAAGAGACTGAAAATTCCTTTGATTAGCATCTTCTCCCATGATCTATAGTTCTGTGAAAATTTGCATTAATGGTTTGCCTCCTGTGTAGTCTGTACCATGGTCCTGACCAAGTCCAGATCTGGACCGCCAACTGGTCTGCTCGTGTATAACATAAGCATAACTGCATAGTACATTTATGCAGGATTTATCAACTGGAGGGATCCAGCACTGCTACATAGTTCATATTCATAGTTCAACCAAGCGAAGAACAGTGATCGAGCAGAATCACATACCTCTCTAGATAGTCATATAAATGCCTCATCATCTGCATTACAACGTCATCCATACAATCTATGAGGGGCCCCTGATCCAATTCGCTGAGGACCGATACAAGCCCTTACTAGGTTAAACGAGTGGATCATGTCGATCAGAAACGACTCGAATAAGGTACTGCATTTGCTGTTGCTCTACATTGGTGCTTGGAACATGATATCACCCCGTATCATGTTGATCGCGGTCCGAGGACTGGTGTGGACGCTTAGACCCTTTCTATGTGTTGCTCGTAGCTCACCTTCATGAGATCGCAAGATGTGGAAGGATAGCTGGCCAGCAGCAACCATCATCCCAAAAACCGAGTCAATGTCATCGAGTGAGATCGATAATTCTCAGATATTCTGGAGTCACTCGTTTGACCGAGAAATGTCCATGGACATGGTATAACTTGCCCATCTACCACCTCATAGTATCATAACCCAAACATGCCTCCATCCAACCCCGCATCCATCGCATCCATCTACAACGAGCGAAGCATCGCCTACGACACCGCCACCTTCCACCACCGTCTCGCAGAGGAATACATCCGCGCCGCAAACCCCCCACCCGGCGCACGGGTCCTCGATCTCGCCTGCGGCACGGGGCTAGTCGCCTTCCTCGCAGAGGCACACGTCGGACCCACAGGGTATGTCGCCGGCGTCGATATCAGCAAGGGGATGCTGGAGGTCGCGCGGCGAAAGGCACAGGCAACCGGGTCGCGGGTTACCTTCTACCAGCATGATATCTCCGATTTGACTGGTTTGAATCTGAATCCGGGAGGTGAAGGTGGTGGCATGGGCCAGTTCGATCTGGTCACCTGTGCGGCGGCGCTGGTGCTGCTCCCGGACCCGCTTGGAGCGATACGGCACTGGGCGTCGCTGCTGAGGGAGGGCGGCAGGCTGGTTACGGATGTGGCGGCTCGGGATGTGCATGTTCCTGCGCGGATCTTTGAGCGGATTGGGCCGGAGCTGGGACTGTCGTTGCAGTGGGATGAGAGCTGGGTGAAGGGGGAGGAGTCGTTGGCTGGGTTGTTGAGGGAGGCCGGGTTGGTGGTCGAGAGGGTGTATTTGAGTCCTGTCTTCCAGGTGAAAGAGTACAGGGTTGAGCAGGCTGGGGAGCTGTTCGAGCAGGCGGTTTCGGGTCCTATGTTTAGAAATTTCGGGTGGGAAGGGATCAGGGACGAGGCGAAGAGGTTGTTTGTCGAGAGGTTTGTAGAGGAAGCTGGGCAGGAGGGCGTGTTGGTGGATGAGGCCAAGATGTATATTGGTGTTGCGGTCAAGCAGTGACATCTACTTGCTACACGCTATTCATGGGTTTGCATATACATGTGCTTGAGGGAATACAGGTTTCATAGCGGTGATATCTTACCACTCCACACCCAACATCTGCTCGCATACCCATCGTGCTGTCTGCGTATGGAGACTATAATACCTCCGATCCTCTTTCCCCTCGTCATCAGCTTCACACTTGGACTTGGACATGCCGAGTGCCTCGAATATCACCAGCTGATCTCGCATATGCTCGTCCACACAAGGCGGACGTCCCTCAGATGTACTCCGCCGCCCGGGGTCATACAACTCATGCACAAAGTCATCCACGCATCGCTCTACCAGTTCCATGGCTATACTCGTGTCGTCTGTCGGCCGACCTCTTCGGCCACCTATCTTTCCAGCCTGCCCGCCAAAAAGCGCATCTCGACCGAGCTTGAACCCATTCGATGTATGTGCCACGATGAGAATGTAGATATGTGAGCGGTGGTGAGTTCTTTCTGAAGTGTGCAGCTTGATAGGTACAAGCTCATCGTTTTCATCTGGCCTGGCTGGTGGATCGACTATCGACGAGGGCATCCTTCGGAGTCGAGTGCGCAGCATACGAATGGTCTCATACTCGATGAGTCGGCGGACAGTTGTCGGCTGATATGTATGATTTGCTGTTTGCGAATTCTCCTGATCACGATCTGCATGCGATCCACGAAAAAGGAGAGTATCCGGTGCCAGAACGGTGATATCAACCTGGGTGATCTTGCCCCGTCGGTATTTGTTCAGATCAACCCGCGGAAACCCATGAGACTCCGGCTTTCTGTCCATCGGGTCAATGATGAACGTTACCTTCCCCAGACTGAACGGTCCAGTCGCCCATCCTCTCTTCTCCAGATGGACCGCGAGCGGTGGAAGCCCGACCCTGGCGAAATTCGGCACCAGGACCTGCGAAATGTAATCATACGACGGCGAAAAGGATACATTCGTGCCACCAGTGATGGTCACACGGACGGGCTGTGGTTCTTCGTCGGATAAACCGCCCCCCGTATGAAGAAGATACGGATACAAAGCCTGAAAGACCAGTGATATAGACCCAGCTGTTGGAAGGTGAAGGTTGATCTCTTGGTTTTGCCGAACGCGGGTCTCTGCATCTGGTGGGGGACGATATGTCAATGAAGACGATCCCACCTCGGCACCTGAGACTGCACTCCCACTGACGTCTGCCAAATACTTGATGGCAGCCAAGTGGGATGCTTTGAGACCCTTCTTGCCGGTGCGGTTGCCTCGGATATGGTCGATTGTGATGGGTTGGCCGGTGATGGTCGACAGGGCCAGCGCGATGCGCACTAATTGACCTCCTCCTTCGAGAGTACGGCCATCAAGGTGAATCCTTTCTCGTCTGCTTGGAGATGATGGCATATCCAGGAGTTCAACAGGATTTATCGTAAATGGTAGAGAATATACTCCGGGAGACTAGTTGGGAAATATATATGTTCTTTCTGCGGAAAATACTCTATCAAACTAAAACTTCATGTCTATCAATATCTTGAACATGATCCTAACCTTTTTAGAGTCTGGTCGCTACAGTATATATACATGACTCACAGTCAGGCCTGGACTCCATTGTATGACTCAATTAGTGACGCATCGGCAGGGTTCGAGGATTCATCCATGGGCCGAATAAGCTTCTTCTGAGCTACCTGGTATCACGAATGAGTTCACTCGATGTAATGGACTGCTGAAATGCAGTCATGTGTGCGAAAAAGTTACTGCTCCAGCAACTGGGTTACTATGTATCCATAACAAACAAGGAGGCAGGGCAATAGTCTCATGTTTTGGGTAGCAAGGTTGAGTCCTCATGAGCCAAGAAAGTCATTCATTATAGAGCTGTATTTCTGACACTCTGATGTATGTCCTGCTCATGTTGCAATGATAGTAAGCTTTATCCACACCCCTGACGGTGCATCGTGAGACCTAAGCCTTGCGGTGATCACAACCCCGCACAGCCTCGCCATCTCATTTCCATCCCCAAATCCACACCCATACCTATAGTTGCATTCAATCAGACTGATTTCCGACATGTCCCTCTCCAAACTCCCAAATGAAGTGATCTTTCTGATCGCCACCCATCTGGTCTGCTACAGGGACCTCAAGGCTCTCGTCCTGTCCTGTCGCGGATTGTACCATCTCTTGGAAGAATACCTTAGCAAACACGGCTACCAGAATTGCCATGGAGACGCTCTATGCTGCGCCGCAGTCCACGGGGATGAAGAACTCGTCATGAAACGTCTAGAGAGAATGGCAGCCGCCGCCGAGTCCTTTCAAGGCCAGCGTCCAAGAAATCCATACCAGCACACTCGATGTTCCGCCAACTTGAGCATCGAGGATATAGTTCTCATTCAGCGTGCGCTGCTGGTAGCCGTGCAAGCTGGTTCAAAGCGCGTAGTCAATCTTCTTCTCGACCACGGCGCGCAGATCCTCTTCCGGTGTCCGTTTGGCTACATTAACAACATCTCGCCGCTCTATCTCGCCGCGCAGAACGGTCACGAGGACCTCGTCGATCTTTTGTGCGAGAGGGGAGATTTTTGCTACGACGAGGAGACGTGTCCGCTCCTTTGGGCAATCGAGCATAATCACCGCCGCATAATTCGCACCCTACTCCGCCACGAATCGTGCGATCATCGCTGGTATGTTCTGCCGATGGCCATGAACCGCGGAGACTCGGGCATGGTGCGCTTCCTGCTGGAAAACGGGCTCCATAAAACGAAATATGCGCATGATGTGCTGTTTGCAGCGATTTCCAAGGGGGACCTGGAAATGGTCAGATTGTTCATCGCCAATGGCGCGGATCCGAACCGGCTGGCCGATTGCTACGACAGGAGGTGGGAGAGAAATCACGTCAAGCTTCTTCCGAAGATGGATAGTCGCTCCCTTCTGGAGCCTGGCGGCCTGGAGGATGATGGCTTTGGGCATTGGTGCGGCTTGTGTACTGAGGAGGAGCAGGTTTTCTATAGTACCACCTACGTTGCGATTTATTATGACCAGATGGAGACACTGAGGTTTCTGCTCGAGTACGGGGTGCATCCTGAGCCGGAGGACCTTCAACTGGCGCGGAAGAAGGGGAATCAAGAGGCTGTCAGTTTGCTTTCTCCATTTTCTTATACAGATGTACCGCAGAAGAAGCGTTATCTTGATGAGTGATCACAAGGGACTCAAAAGAACTATATCGCAAGAGAGATTGTCAATCGGTGCACACAGGAAAAGATCTCATTGGAACACTCAGTAATTTGCTGGGATCAAAATCCACTGCCAATGTTCGTAGATGTTGAAGCAACAAGGAAGCTGCGCCTTGTATCTGTTGCCATCATGTTGCCCCGTTGCATCCCCAAGCTCCTTCTATTTTCGGCGCTGTTGCAATTGTTCAACACCATACCCCAACGATATCTCCGTGTGGTAGAACTTCCGACACTCATACTCATCCCTTAGCTCACATCAGTACTCAACTATATCCCCTTCAATAAATCATGCCAATAACGTCCTCTTTATCCCTGAGCGCAAAAGATCGCCTGCGTCGAACCCAGTCCGCTCGCTCCATCCGCAGATCGCGTCAGTCCTCCCTGCCCTCAGAGCCGTTTGACCCGTCAATTGCCAGACAGCATGCCACTGCAGCTGCCTCTCGCGCCATGCTGCGCTCCTCGGACAGATCGTCTGCAGACTCGAAGCACTCCTACGACCGTCTAGGTGGCCCGGAAAGCATGGCAGTCCCATCGAGAAGACCGCCTAGGCCGCCCAGTCGCACGCAAGCTCCGGCCAATGATTCATCAGTCGGAAACGCTTCACCTTCTCGCCGATCCGTTGCGAGCTATATAGAGAGCCGCGATGATGACCTCACTTTCTCGGCGGCCTTGCCGCCCATAAGTGAGTTTCGAGGCCTGGATGGTCGTGACTCCTCGCTGCCCTCCTCCTATCGCCGGCTTCGTAAAGCACGTTCGATGTTCTCGACCAGACAGCGCTCTTCACACGTCTCTCACGGATTCTCACCTGATGCATATGCTCGGAAAGTCAATGACAGAGAGCAATTTGACACTCCCCGCTCCTACAGGACGTTGAGACGCTCCATGTCTTTTCTGAGAAGTGGTCAATCTGCTAGAACCGTCCGCCATACGCAGAGTCAAGAGGCAGCGATCCAACTCGCACGCAGTCAGTTCCAGGAGAACATGGTCGGCCAACCCAGTCATCAGAGGCAATCGTCTATCACCATGCTCAAGCCGAGACGTGAGCATAAACCGTTCAGAAAGACATTTCGCACTACCAGCGGCTCGGGTATGGACACAGATGCGTCGCCATCGGCGGAGCAGTCCAAGAGAGTCTCATCTCGTGGAAAAGCGCGGGCCCTTTCTTCGTCTATCAAGAGAGGGTTGAAGCGAGTTTTGGGCCTGTCAAAGACATCAACGGATCCGGGGCAAGCGGAAGCTTCGCCCTTCTCACTTCAGCAACATGATTATGGCCCATCGTCGACCATATCTGATGCCGATTTCAGCCACGCCGAGGAATTTGACCATCCCCATGAGGCCATGGGCCAAAGTAGACCACCCACGGTGCGGAGTGTTCGAAGCAATGAAAGTCTTGCAACTTCCCGTTCCCGTGTAACAAGTTGGGCTGACTCAACTGTCGCAAATACGATCGCAACCCGCAGAGCACCCGAGCCTGACTATCTGTCCATCATCGACGAACAAGGAGATTTTAACGGACGTCCCAGTCCCGAACTTGCAGCAAGACCAAGCCCAATACGACCAGATGGCTCCATCGACAGTAAGCACTTGTATGATGCATTGTTGAGGCGGATCGACAGAGAATATACGCCAAGTTCAAGTGAGGAGGTTGTAGTGGGCCAAGTCAAAGAGCATCGGCTCATCCCAGCGCGCACGTCTTCTCTTCATCCCAGGCGCAGCAGGCAGACCATCCGTCAGGTACCAAGCGATGCATCGATTGCAACTTCTAGGACGTTTGCCACGGCCAACGCAGGTACTTCAACTCCTCAGAAGCAGAAGCAGCGCCATCCTCGGTCGTCCATGCCTTCCCGAAGGCTTTCAAGTGCGCCGAAGAAAGCGAGCGCAACCCTGGATTTCAGTCCAGTCGGCAATGCAGATGAACCTACCGCTGCAAGTGCTGAAGACACCGAGGAGGATTCCCGAAGTGTGATCGTCGCCAGGCATGCCGACCCAGAGACTCTCTCCAACTCTCCCAGCATCTATTCTCGGACAACTAGTGGGAATTCTCCTGAAAGAAAAGATCAGACTATCGATTTGCATTCGTCGGAAACGGAGGATGAGCCAGGGATGGTGACTATCTATGAAAGCCAGAGGACCGCTTATTGCTCCCCAAAGCGTATTGCTCGCTCTCCGTCCAATGGAGACCGAGTGCGGCCCAGTGCTGAATGGAAACAATGGATGTCTTCACAGATGGCAAGATTCGAGACATCCGTTCCCCCTAGAGATCACTATAGAGAGGATGCACAGATTCACGAGGAGGACGGGGACTTTCTAGCGTCAGCTCCTTACCAAGTCTCTGGAAACAGCCAATCCCCGTACCCTCAGACAAGCTATCTGTCTCGGAGTATTTTCGACGGTGAAATGGGAACAGACGGCAAAGTCGCACCAAGCAATAATTTCTCTCGACCATTCAGTCGGTCGTCGAGCGTCCGCACAGTTGTACCGTCTAGAAAAGAGCACGCACAAGAACAGGTTTCTCCATCCGCCAATTCAGTCTTCTCTTCTCCCAGTGTTCAAAATTACTCGCAGGGGTACACTTTGCCTACTACGGGAGTACGCACGCGCGAGAATGAGCCCGCCTTGTCACCAATGGGAGCGAGATCAAGCAATCGACTTCAGACACTTGATTCTCCCACTCCTAAGAGGGGTGGAGCAGACTCTCAGCAGAGAAAATTGGCAAGCGAGCGGTATCGCAGGTACTCAGCACGGCGTCTTACAGTTTCTTCGGATCCGAAGTCTCATCAATGCCGCTCGATTAGAAGAACGACCAACGAGAATGCGAGGACTAGCGAGCTGCCGCATAAATTGGGTCAGATTGGAGATCCACAGGACATGCCTTCGCCGGTGTCGAGCAAGCACATGGTGGAGATGTTTCTGAGCAGTCGACGGAGACAACTAGGGAGTAACTTTGCGGATGACGGTGCACGCGAGGGAGCGTTTATATGAATTTAGTGAATTCGTACCCAGGAGGATTGCATGCCGGGTCCGAAAATATTTGTAGACAAGCATCATCACTTTGGCATGCGAGGTCTGGTAGTGATGCTTTGCTCAGATCATCTGCGTCTTCGGCGCTTTATTCAGTATACTTCCTGTATTTACACATAGGAGTCAAATTGAGTCACGTCCGCATATATTCTCGTGTACTCCTTACTAAGTGGGCGTTATTTTAAGGTCGCGACATAGACACACAAGGCATTTCTTATTGGACATAGTTGGCAGGAAAGCTCCCCTTGACTCCTCGAAGCTCTCCCTCCCACCAGTCATCGGTGCTGTCCGTCTTCTGCAGGACTCGGATCCGATCACCCTCACGAAAGGCCAGGTCACCGGCACTCTGGCCCCCAAAGTCATAGAGGGCAGTGACGTACAGCGCTCCGGTCGAGGAACCGGCGCGAGGGGGCGGAGGCGGCGGCGGCTTCTTCTTTGCGGCTGCAGCGGCAGTGTAACCGGGAGATGAGGCCCTCGAGCCGCTAGATGCTTTTCGCGGATTGAGACTGAAGTAGTCCGATCGCGTGGAGGAAGGGGAGAGCCCGCTCAGCGGCGTCTGCGCGTATT